TCCGTTATTTTTAATTACTCAAGTTCTAGTAAATTTAGAAACATAAGATCCTGTATACATAATCTTCGGAACCTAAGTTATAAACTGACATAAATTTTCTGTATACTTATTATGTACGTTTTTGTGTAATTAATACATTTAGGGGGTCTGATACTTTTGTCCAGGTACTGTATTTATTCTTTTGTAAAATATAGACATTGAATTTTTCTCTGGTTATTTCTTTTACTTGGCTAACTTTGTTCTTTACTTTGTTAGTTAGGAGTTTAAATTTGTTTTCTTTCCTTGGTAAAACTGGTAGTTCTTGAAGTTGCTTGTCTGCTAAATAAATTCTGCCATGCCACAGTGTTTTCTAGCAGTTCTACTTTTCTCAAAGCCTTTTCTAAGTTGTCATCTTTTTCCTTGCTTTGTCTTAATCTCCATTGTCTAGCTACTTCAAGAGCCTCTAAATGACATTCAGATGTTTCCTCTTTTAGTTTTAATGCTTCTTCTAACTCTTGTTTGGTTATCTCTAACTCAGCAACTTTTTCTTCTAAAACAGCATTCTTTTCTTTTAATTCTTCTTTTTCTTGGTAAGTAAAACCAAAAGCTCATTCATAATTTAATGCTTCACTACCAAAACTTTTAGCAATATTTTCAGGAGTGAATTCATCACTGAAAACAACTCTTCCAATTTCAATTCCATTCTTTTCTGGATAACTTATTCAACCATTGTTAGTTCAAGTAAATCTTTCTAAGGTACTTAAACTTGTTCCAGTATATTCTGAACTTTCAGTAAGACTGTGAACTGCATTTCAGATTTTTAGTTTAAAGTTTTCTTCTTTTGCTAATTGTTTTTTAATGTTTTGATTTCTTCTAATGAGTTTTTATTTTTTTTCTTGTTGTTCTTTTAGAATGTTTACCATGATTTTCTTATTTATTTATTCATTTAATAATACTTATATCCTTTTTATAGTTAAATATAAATTATTTTAGTACTTTTTACTTTAAGAGTGGAAAAAGCTAGCAATATTTGTTAAAAGATTAAACTTATTAAACTTGATGACAGCAAGGAAGTGCTGTATAATTTTGAGGGTTCTGGGACAATGGCAAATTTTTTGTCAATTTTTGATACATTTTTGATACCATTTTACATCATTCAAGCTCCTTGATATCTATTAAGCAATTTTCAGACATCTTCCAAAAACAACAACCAATATCATCTCTGAACTCCTATCAGAAGCTAAATAGACAAACAAATAATTACAATAAAATTGATAAAGGAATAAAATTTTCCAATTAAAGATAACATGATAGTATATAAAAAAACAATGAAAATGTTTACATATATAACATAAGCAATAGCAAATTTCTTAAACAATAACAAGGACCCATTTGATGCAGGAGAGCTTCTAGAGGTGCAGGAAATAGTAGAGTACGTAGAGGTAAAAACACTGCATTTATCAGAAGAAGCTTTAACTCAAAAGAAAACAAGAGCTAAAGCTATTAAATCTGGAAAATATGCTAAAAATAGGGGAGAAAAGGTTCCAGACTGGAGAAGATGCATTATTCCAAGATACAACATCAGGAAAATGGGTACAAATATTATGTGTATATAGTAACAATCAGAAGGTTGTACGATTACATCATGCATGTAGAATTTCCATGACCTTCTAATTTATTCTGTGGTATGTGATATGTATTACGCAATTGATTTTTCAGGTAAAATAAAGATACATGGATAATAATAATAATAATAAATAATAGTGGAGGTACATATTTGTTTTCTTACGGTAGAGTTGCAAGGGAGAGAACGTACGGCCCCTAGACCATTCAATGTACGCCCCTATACTTTGGCTCTACCAGATTGAAAACTATTTATTATTATCATCATAATTTATCTTCCCATCACCACTATTGTCGTCGCTAACTTCTTCATTGATATTATTATTGCCAGATGCGGATTTATTTTTTCTTCTAGTTCGAAATAACTTTGATCTTTTTCTCCTTTCGAAGATCGCTTGCAACTTCAGCAATCATATCGGCTTTAGAATAATCGTTTTCTCGCATGGTCTCGTCAAAAAGGTTTTTAAATTTCGGAAAAAGTGGATCTGAAAACGAAGTGCGTCTTGAAACTAATACGATACAAAAATATTAATTTATTGCAAAGCAATGGCTCTTCGAGCCTTCTATGAGTCTCTCAGAGTAACAGATATTTATACGTTGAAATAATCTTACCTCGAGAACTACTTGAAAAATTTCTTGAATTATTATTCGAAAGATTACTATTTAACGTATCATCCTCCTGAAATCTTTGTTGTTGGAACTCTTCATAAAACAAAGAAATTCTTTCGGTAAGATCATCTATCTTATTATAGATTTCGTTAGATTCGTTTTTTCGTTTCTCTTTTAATAATTTGAGTTCCATATCGATTTGTTGTTTGAAAATATAGAAAACGAAGCATATGATGACAATGAATAGGTATATAAATAGTTTTTCTCCAAATATCAATGCCACGATGAGGATAAATATAGGGATCAAAATAAAATAACTCTCTAATGGCATTTTTGAGAGAGCTTCGAAAAATTCAGTGGCGTCATCTAAAAATAATATCAGTCAGCCTGGTGGTTCATTTATAATACAATGAGATACAAGTAGTCTATTGCAAAGCAGGCCATAGGCGATTCTCCGAATCATGACCATTCGGGTCTACATACCTTTGATTTTGACAAACGTAAGAATGATATTTTAATATGATTTATGTTTTGATTAATTTATGACGTTTTATTGATTTAATAACGTTTTATTGTTTTATTCGAGTGTTATAAGTAGAAGAGATAACCTCATTTGAGCCGTTTTTATATACATTTCAGAGTTTCTCCAGCGCGGATGATCAATTGTTAAGGATACGCGTCATTAAAGTTATCAATAATCATTGGTTTTTTCGAATTACACGGTCAGCTCATTAAAAATTTATCTACTATGGACGATCTGTTACCTTTGCCGATCCTAATTATTTGTGCATTTATCTGATAGGTGAAATCGAAAAGTTTGGCACGTCTCATATGACGCACAGGCCCTCATTCGATGTTTAAAAAAATAGCTTAATCGTTTTTATACAACAACAAATAGATGTCTTTTCTTAACACGAATTATATCTGGTTTATTCCCGCCTTCTCTTTTACAAATCATGTATATGAGAGGAAAAAGGATTTCGTTCTAAGTAATTAATTCGTAGCTTCATTAGCGAGCAAGTACCACAGGTGCTATAATTCGAACGCAAAACAACATTCATGTTGGGCAAAATATTACGGTTAATGAACCATGGAAAAAAGTTGCAGAATTATATGGAACAACCGAATCATCTAGAGGAAAGAAATCCAAAGGTGCTGGTGTAAATGATTGTAGATCACCAGATACTGCTGAAGCCATTTTAAAAAATAAACCATCTAATGATAAAAATTTAGATGTTAGCAATAAAAAAGAAAAACCAAAAGTAATTGAACTTCCCAAAAAATATCAATCATATCCACATTGGTGAAACTCATGTTATATTACATCATTCTTGGAATTATTGTATGTAAACTACCTTCATGCAATTCCATGGTGGTCAACCAATGTTGGAACAATTACACATGACTCTGGATTAAAAAAATTATATATTAGTTTTACTATCTGAGATACTGTTAATACTCTAGGAACTAGAAATACAAAATCTACCTTCAATGAAGCCCGTGAAATTGTTCACCACCATGTTCTAGGAAAAAAATGGCAAAAAGATAATGAGTTTGGATCATTATCCTATTGGTTTGAAAGTATTATCTCAGAAGAAAAAGAATCAATAAAACTTATGACACAGTTTTGTGCTCTTGGATTGCGAATCTGGTCATGTGAATCTGGTCATGTCAAAGTTGCACCAACACCCATTAAACCATTATTTCCAATAAATGGAATTGATGATTTTGATAGCTCTTTTTTCAAGAATAACCAAAACCTGGTTGGACAAGTTTCTGCATTATTTGCAAAAAAGAATGAATTTATCAACAATATACTTCCAGATCGACCTTGTCCTTATAATCGTGCAAACCTTCATCAATGTACCAGCAGAAAAATATTCTACGAAGAATACATAATCTCTTTGCCATATACCTTGATATTTGAAATAACCCAAAGAGATGGTGCTAATTATCACTCGTCAGAACAATTGGATTTCCCTTTTCAGCTTTGTTATCAAGAAAATGAGATCACTATAGAATATACATTGACAGCATGTGTATACAGCACATCATCAAGTGGACAGCATTTCTACAGTGAAGTAATTCGAAGCTTTAACAATCAAAGTGGTGTCTACAAGTATGATGACTTAAATGAGGGGACGGCTGTATTAATATCCAATGATCCAACCACTCTATCAGGATACAAGCCACAGACTGTATTAGTTGCTTATAAATTAAATGATTTTAATAGTCATTCCATCTATTCTGATAGCTGAGCAAGTTAGTATTGTTTAAATAACTTTTAAATTTTTAAAAAAAATTAATTAATAATAATTACTTCCATTGAATTATCCACAGGAACTTTTATGGAAAAATTAAATAATCATAATATAAACATTCTTGATGAAAAGATTCATTCAGGGATAGACTGTAAGTAGATTTTTATGAAAAAAGTTGGTTGTTTCGTCATCAATTGATTAATAATGTTGTATTTTTTCTAGTAATTGAATATTTCACTGATAAAAGCCATCAGTATTTTAACAAAGGTAAAAATGAAGAGGAAGAGGAAGAGGAACCCGAAGTTGATAAAAAAAATAAAAAGTAATTATTAATGACTTACTGTAATAGTAATAATGCATTCATTTATTAATATTCTTAACAAAATTTCCATATTTTCTTTAGATCCAGGACTATTAAAGATAACACTGCTGTAGTTTGTCGTAGTAGTAGAATTAAAAATACAAAAAAATAATTTTTATTAATGTAATTATCAAAAATAAATAAAAAAAAATTAAAAAGATATATGTAGTCAATCCCTGTACCCTGTCCCTTTCTAAATTTTGCAGAGAATTTTAGAAAAGGACAGGGTACATGTCACCTGTACCTTGTATGTGCCACACCTGTCACCTGTCCTTTTCTAAAATTTTTACATTTCTCCTGTGCCACTCGCCTGTCCTTTTCAAAATTTGATAGGGAAATTTAGAAAAGGACAGGGTACAGGCAAAATTTGCAGATCCCTGTCCTTGTCCCTTTCTAACGTCCCTAATATTTGCATTGGCATCCTCCTGCCAACCTATTGCATCAATTTGCTTAAAAAAAACATATACTGTGTTATTGTTGACTCATGAACTATATTAAGATTATTCGTAAAAATTACCAGAACATTCAACTCCACGAGAGAATACATATCATCAATTGCGGTCGAGACCTAAAATAAAAACAAAATTATAAAATATATTGCAGGAATAACAGTCAGTGTGCAAATCCTAAAAATTAAGGGGCAGATTGTTTTGCCAGAAATTTTGGCTGATCGACATTGAAATTTTACTAATAAAAACTCGAATTGAATGTCTTCAGTCCCTTATTTTATACCCTTGCTTTGTATCAATTGTCACCAAAATTTCCACATTGTTTATTTTTCATGTTCTTTATTTTGTAAAAAATTTTCAAGTGAGGTTAATAAAAGAGCGGAAAAGAATCAAGGTCTCAAAGTTTTTTTTGTCTTTGTGTGACAATAGAAGATTCATGTCTTGCAAGTAAACTTGTAAAACTAGTGAAGTATTTAAATATTTTAAACATTACAATTATATTTAAAGAAAATTTAAATAATGAATAGTTTGACAAATAAATTATTAATTTTATTTTTATTATTTACATTTTTATTATTTACATTTTTATTATATTTCTTATATTAATTACACAGGAAGGATGTTCGTTAATAGATACTTGTCATGTATTTATAATCGATTATTATATATACTCATTATTTGTGTTAATTATATATTATATTATTAATTTGATTCTTTTATTATAGATATAAATAATTAAATAGAATTGGGATAGAGATACTTGTAATTTATAATTCAATTAATATTCATATTAAAACTTTTGACTTTTTTGTTAAATCATTATTCTTAAATCTTTTAACTTTTTTTATTATGATAATATATTGAAGATAGAATTGATATGGTGATGACATAAATTATGATGATGCTTACCAACCAACCTTTAGACACACTATCCAAATAATACCAATCAAGAATATAGATGTTAGTCACAACCTTTGATGGTGGTTGTAATAACCTTTGTGATCGTGATAACCTTTGTGATCATGATAACCTTTGTGATCGTGATAACCTTTGTGATCATGATAACCTTTGTGATCGTAATAACCTTTGTGATCGTAATAACCTTCATGATCGTGATAACCTTTGTGATCATGATAACCTTTGTGATCGTAATAACCTTCGTGATCGTTTTGCTTTCTTCTTTGAATTTTAATACGGACATATTTGTCATAAAAAAGATCAAGATGTGTAACTACATTAGAAGCTAAAACTACATTACATCTGTTATCCAAGATTAAATAAACATTAAACTATCTTACCTACTTTAAATATGAAAGCAGATCTAAGTTTTATATATATATTTGAAAATTCCGTCAAGTGAGTCGTCTTTATGGTACTAATGAAGCCTAAAGAACAAGGTTCACTTTGGTTTATTGACTATTGTAATCAGCATAAAGTTGCCTTGTTGAAAAGAATCAACGTTTTTAGTGTAAATTTTTGTGTGTATTTTGACCCACTATTATGAGTTCAAAAAGCAGCTTTATTTTAAATAAAAGATGCCAAAATATTTATTGAAACTTCAAGAAAAATTTTTATATATATCATTTTTTTAATCTATTAAGAAGTTTATGTGTTATAAATGTTAAAAGAAATTTTTGGCATTCAAGTGAATGTTACATGCACTAATTAAAAAAAAGAGAAAGGATTTGCACACTGACTGATAAAGAAGGAACTATAAAAAAACACGCAAGATCAGATTAGGTTTCCGATCTCATATCTCATCGAAAATGCCGGCAATTATAAAAATAGTACTTGCAACTAGCTACTACCACGCAGGAAATGATGTTCTACCATACCGGCGCAGTCCATTCACTAGAGTACAAATACTAGAAAACCTAATAGTTCATCATATCTAATATGTTTTTTCCAAAAGGGATTTTATGAACTTACTCGTTGTCTCAAACTTTCACCGGTTCCAAAGCTTTGAAGTTTTCTTAAACGATCTTCTTCTCTTGGGGTCTGACTTAACATATTTTTTACATTTTCTAATATTTCTACGAATCTTTGTACTTCTTGCTCACAATCTCCACTCCAACTACCTGAATTGGCATGCTTATACAAAGCAGTGGCAACAGTAATTGTTGAAATAGGTGTAAAATTTAATAAAAAGTTTTCCATTGTTAGAGAATTCGATTAAAAGAAATTGTTAAATCGCAAGTAAACAACAATAACTTCGCTATACTGCCCTTTTAAACAGTTTTCACATTTCCTCTTTCTGGAATTTGGCATACGGTGTTGAAAATAGATTTGGAAAGTAATGAAATGAGTGATGCACAGCGAAAAAAAAATCACAAAGAAAATGCATGTGGCACTGGGGTGTTAGATACAAATATAATCACAAACATAGGGGAAACCAAAAACAGGTGGGACCATTCTGGGAACACAAAAATTAACAGGAGGGAACACAAAATTTTAACCCATGCCATTCGTTGATTGACCAATTAAAATC